GTGTGTGTGTGTAAGGGGGGGGAGCGAGCGAGCTAGTGGTAATCTTTGTGGTACACGCTGCAATCATTCATAAGATCACACATGGTGTTACCATATTTAGACTCTAAGCTTCTTATCCCATTGAAGAGTGTCTATATGATCAGGGACCATAGGTGTTATTGTGTAGCATGAATACATGTATTCACTTTGTTATAACAGTAGTTATTCTCTTGCCTAAAAGATGTAAAATCTCCATGTCTTTACTACTACAAAATGTGCTGATTTTTGGATATCACAAAAGTGGGCAGGCCCTTTAGGGGCCCTTGGACCTTAGATGCACTGTCAGTCTCAACCCTTCTACCCAGCTGAAGGGAGTGAACCAGGAGTTGGATAGAACTCCATGGGCAGCCCTGGTTTAGGGAGACATGGTGAAGAGAGAAGGCCTCCTTGTAGCTGCCCCTGCAGAGAACCTGGGAGTGCAGTCCTGAAGAGATGAGTTTGTTGGAAAAGGACTGAATAGAAAGATTCACCGTAACTTGTAGGCAGCAAGTCCTGCAGGGAATGGATTGGCCCTTAAAGGAGACTTGAGGTCAGGATATGTGGAGCACTTGAATCAGACTGTATTCAGCTCTAAAGAAAAGGGACTGAGAACCTCATTCTATGAAATAGTTCTTGATGGGCTGGCAGGAGAAGTCTGCTAGCTTACATAAACTCCTGAATGCTTAATAAAGCAGCTTGCTTTTATTTATTGCTGGGTGTATTGATCCCTACCAGCTGCTGCTTTACCACACAGAAAAGGTCAGTAAGATTTCTGCTTTATGGCATTCACAGGATCAGCCTCTGGAAAATGCACCTAATTTGTAAACAAAAACCCTGAAACACTCTTTTATTTTTCTCAAAAAGCAACCAAACCAAACTGCACTTCACTGCAGACAGCCTGTAACAAAAGACATATTCTGGATAAACCTTATCTTGGCTAACTCTGTTGAACTTGCATGGGCTGTTTATCCATAAAGTCACATCTACTGTTGCCAAGAGGTAAGGCTTCTAAACAAAGCTGCCAGAATCCCTGAATTTGAACACCAAGGTGAACAAGTCAATATAAAGAATGAAAATGTATTTGTGTGGGTTTTTTTTGTTTTGTTTTTTAATAGACGATACCATTAGGGTTAGGGTTGCAAATCTATTTGAGAGCATAGAGCTGATTTGCAGCTACAGGCCGAGCTGCTTATAGCTGCAACAGATGGTTTGTTTGTTGTTTTTTTTTCCCTCTCTTTCCTTCCCCCGCCAAACAGGAACTGCTGCATATGGATAAGTTCATTTCCTCTGTGATCAAACTCTAGCTTAACCTACATCAGGAATTTTGTATGAGATTCAAAGGCATGCAGCTGCAGCTAAGCTGCAAGCTCTTGAGGAAAGAAAAGTAGTAAATCATCCAGAGTAGGGTTGTTTAGAACTGTAAATCATTTAAATTAATAACTTGTGGGGAAAAGTCTCTGTGTTTAATAAAAAAAAAAAAAAAAGGCAATTAAATATTTGCTGTATGTAAAGAGTAAATGAAAGTCGTCTTCTCCAAAATTTTAAATTTTGAATAAAATGTTTTAATATATAAATTCTAAGATGGAAGAAACGGTTCCATAATACAGCTTCCCTCATGGTCCAACCTTGTTTAACTAGTACTAGATGTATTCTGGTCTGAGTATTTGTCAAAAGAACAGAATAAGATCCCAATGTTTAGAGATGGGTAACCAGTCTACATCCAGCTTCACCATTGTAACAATCTAGAAAACTGAGATTTAAAACAGGAAAAAAACTGCCTCGCTATTGTATATAAAGCAAGTATTCAGACCAAACAGAGACGGGCTTCTTTATGGTGTTCTTTGTTCTGACCAGATTTTTGGCTTGGGACACCAGGGAGTTAAAATATTGATCTTTATTTAAAAACCTAGTTTAATTAAAAGTGCAGTTCTTTTCTGAATCCTAGAAATTGGGACCGGAAGTGACCTCCAGAAGCCACCTAGGTCCAACCCCCTCCTTAAGGCTGGTTCATCCCCACCCAAACTATCCTATAAAAGTCCTTGTTGAACCTGTTCTTTAAACTAACCCTGATGCACAACTGCAAGGCATGTTGCCCAAAGACACCAAAAGCACTGTTACCTGCTGCGGATAAAGCAGGGGATAAGACCTGTCAGTCCCGCTGCTACAAGCATTGTTAGAAGGCACTCCACAGATCCAAGAAAGAGGGCTGTCCCCCTTACTACAGAGGAGAGCAAAAATCCCCATAGTCCATGCCAATCTGACCGTGCTGTAAAAGGCCTTCCTGATCCTAAATGTGGCACTTGGTCTGAGCCTGAGTGAAGAGGCGCTCCCTGGGTTTGAATTGCAGTTAGAGCATTTGCCCACCCCAGTCAAATTCCTCAGCCTTTGCCACAGCCAACACCAAGTACTTCTGAGGAACAAGAAAGAAATCCCTGGCATATGTAACAACAGGTCATCGCTTCCCTGTGATGACCAGGAAAGTGTTTTTTACTGACACCAGTGGTATGGATTCTACGTTGTCTTCATTCCAAATCAGCCATCTGACGTATAAGCTCACCTGGGATCAATATGAAAGTCCTCTTTTTTTCTCAGGAACTACCACCAGTTTAAAAAACAGAAAAATGAAACAGCCTCCCGCTTCCTTGCCCCCAAAATATGCCCTTAATCTAGAATGTTTTCAGCATGGTGCGCTTGGAAGTGAAGATGCCTGCTTCTTTGAAGGTTTGCACTGGGATTCCAGACTCTATATCAAACCTTAGTCTATCCAAACTGCATTGTGACTGATGACACTATTTAATATTGATTGATTGTTTTAGGTGTGAGAACTTGCATGTGTACAAGATGGGGCTTTTTTCAGGTCTTTGGTGGGCATTAGCGCTTTTCTGCTGGATCAGTGACAGCATCTTGTGAGATCTGGTCGTCATTTAACTGTTCCATATTTGCACTGTGTATGGTAAGTGCTGAGGGTGAACCCTGCAATATAATTGGTATTTTAGTACTGTGCCTTATGCGTACGTGGACTTCAGAGCCAGAAGTAGCAGCAAGCAGCCTTGCTTATCTTGTAAGACATGACACCAACAGCACGTCATACTCCAGTAGATGAATGTATGTGGTGCCTGACCTATTCAAATTCTGAGGAACCTGTTTTTTAATTAATAGGTTTTGGCTACAAAATGATCTTCCAAACGTAAACCAGTGCATCATTGTCCATTTGAAATAACAGCTTTGAGCGGGAATAATTCTCCTCGTTTTTGTTTCTTTTTCTTTTAAAGAAAAAGCTGTGACTGTTCCTTCTAGTTGTTTAAATATGAACGAAAGTCCTTTTTTATTCAAGGCTATGTCCACCTTTTATTCAAGGTGGAGTCCATCCTTGGAGTCCACTTCTTCCTGCATGCCCAAAAGGTTGTGCAGTTGAGGCCATTTCGGAAGAAAAATATGCTGCGAGTGTGCAGAGAAGGGAAGTTCCCTGCATATCTTGTCTGTCCAAAAGTCATGTTCAGGAGGGATTGGAGAAAGGTGAAGATGAAGAACTTGAGAATGATTGATTCGATATGCCTTTGACAAGCATTGAGTTATGTGACTGATTTGTGTTTGTCCTTCTCTGCAGGCACATCCTCACTTGTCTTGCTGCTTATCTTGGTTGTGTCTGCTTTGCCTACTTTGTTGCTGCCTCTGAAATCCCTGAACAAGGCCCTGTCATAAAGTTCTGGCCTAGTGAAAAATGGGCTTTCATTGGTGTTCTCTGTGTCACCCTTCTCTGTGCACACAAGAAATCACCTGTGAAGATTACATGAAGTCAGCCACATCATAGAGGGGCCGATTTTTATTTATTTATTTATTTTTTCATTGCAGACTCTG